TATTCCAAATTTGGAATGACCAAATAATCATTCAAATTAAATAATATGAATCATGTTAGTTTATGTATTTAGAGTTTAAAGGTTGGTTGTTGTTGTTGATGATATTACGTATGATGTTGATATTAGGAATGTTGTATTAATATTTTAGTTATTGTTGTTGTTGTTATTGTTACAAGAACAAGGTCCATTGAAATCAATTAACCACAAGCCGATTATAGCAATGGCATGTAGATTAAGCACAAAGTAGAATCCAAGCCCATGAGGTCCAATTAGGGTTGCCCTTACTTATCGACTACACCTATCATACCATCAACACAACGTTAATCTTTGCTTTTATCGAGAGGTGGTAGTCGGAGATGAACACATTTCATATGTCATTTAGTGAGATAACTATCACGTTGGACAATGTGTTTGCCTTTCTCCACTTACCAATCAATGAAACCTCGGTTACAATGCTAGTTTGTTGACAATGCATTAAAAAAACACATTAATATCGAGGTTGCTTCGAATTTCTTATGATGATGCTAAAATGAAGACTGAATCAAGTAAGGAATCTACTATTCAACTATCTTGGCTGTGTAAGACCTTTAAGCATGTCACTGATGCATCAAATGATAAAGTGATTGGATGTGCATCCTATGCTTTTCTACTATATTTGGTAAGAGTACATTATTTTGTGACAAGACCATGATGAGAGTCTCACTAGCGTACTTACCCCTATTGAAGGACCTCATTACCATTAGGAGGTATGCTTAGAAGTAATGGCCTCACTTACTTGTATAGGCAACTTGGGATTGTGAGTAGTGCACACATACATCAGATTACCAAATATCTGACACTTATCCAGGTATGTATTTATAATTATTTAAAACATATTATAATGATTTGATATATTTTTTATTAGTCATGTTTGTAATTATCTAACTAAATATTACTTATGTATTTCATATAGGTGTGGATTTATAAGCACTTTCATCTTTGGGTCCAATTGTCGATTTGACTTACTCAGACAATCTACCCTGTGCTCATCAATGGAAAATTCGTATTTATGCTAATACATTGCCCCACTTCACGTGAAACTTAGATAGGTTGACAGTATAGGACATGTGTTGGGCCCTATACAACGATATATAAGAGGCACATCTATTGGATGAGATTGCTTTTTTCACTCAAATGTATTAAGTGCGAAACAATCATATTACCATGCGGTTGGTGAATAGGAATTTTAGCAATTTATTATGTTGGTTTCTTTGAGTTTGTCGTGTTTAGTGGTAATGTACTATTCTGAGCTAATAACACAATCTCTCAGTGTGACACGTCACGTCGTATAGAAGTATATATTTTAATGTTCTGTGACTTTTTGGCTTAGCCATCTCTAATGTTAGCATCAAGATAGTTATGGATAAATCACCAAGTTTTTGCAACTTTCTTTTCAAGGCCAACTTATTAAACTCATCATAGTCATTGAAGCATTTGATGATTCGGTCAACCTCAAACTAGATGGTTGACTCATTAAATATTGAATTATCTTCACTCTTCATTAAATCTAACCTCTTTCAATATGGATGCACTTTAGATAAAGAAATTGGATTTCGTATTCTTATATGCTTTACAACTTCATGAACACAAGGTAATCCTTATGTGCTTTTGATCACACAACCACAAGCATGTGTATCAACCCAACATGATTAACTCGTTTGACCTCTATCAATATCATATTTTATGCACTCTTAGATATCAAATATGGCAATTCTTTGAAGAATAAAGGCTTGAAATTATGCTCCACAATGGTAGCACTTCACTTAAATGAAGCCTTGATCTCTATATGTTGAAGCACAATAAGTGCATTGACTATCTTCCATGATAATTCGAAATCTCCTTATGATGATCCAAGGTATCTTTCTAATTTCAAATGTGCACTCTTGGCCCTAAAAAAAATAATAAAGGTGTATTAATGATTTGCTATGAAACATTAAAAACCATAAATAATATTACGAACATAAATCATATATATTTGTTGTAACATTGTCAAAATGTATTATTTTATTCGTCTAAGCTGTAATAAATCTGTCTTGATATTTTGTCAATCACTGCTTTTTCACATACTTTAATGCACCTATATAAGTTTGGTAATCAATTTCAAATGAGCTCAAATGCCTTTCATGCTCATCATAGGTAGATGAATATATCAGTACATTCCATCTGGATATGAATGTTTCCTATTTCTCCTTTTGCTCAAAAAACTTCTTACAATTTGCAATCACATTTTTATTAATATGCAATCAATAAAAAAGATTGGTCATGCTCGAAAATACTATTTTTATGGCATTCATCAATGCCAACTCTCTATCAGTAACAATAATAATAGAAAATTTACTAGTAGGCATCAAATCTTTGAACTTACCCAATGTCCAAATATAATTCTTAGAACACTCAGCTTTTATTGTACACAAATGCAATAGAAAATGTCATCTTAGTGGAAGTAACACCAATACTTTTAAGTAGTAACATATAGTATTTGTTTGTTTTATAAGTGTAATCCATAATCAAGACTAATGGGAATGCTTGCAATAATTTTACACCAGTAAGATAAGCCCATAATAGGTTTTTTACACAGTCACTTGACTACTCGTCATACCTATGCCACTTTAGGTATTTACAATTTGTCAACTTTTTCATCAATTGTTGCATTTGTGATCTATTAGCTTTTTTAACATATTTGTGTTTTTTGCATTCATTGTATATTGTCTTTATAGTGCTGACATTCTTCTCATCATGTTATTTTATAGTTAACAGTATGTTTCTGGGTCTAACCATATTATCTGACATATTAGCAATTAATCTTTTTTCTTTTTTAGTTAATCAACCCACATGTGAATATCCTGTAATTGTTGTACTAGTAGATGATTGTGAATTTCACATACTACTTTCACACCCCATTCATTATCCATTGCCAACGTAATCCCATATAACTTAAATGGATAACCACACTTTTTTGTTTTTGTTCTCTTACATTTTATTTCTTCTACATTGCCCTTATTCTTAAACTATTTGTATTTTCCACTTCGTTCACATGCTAATTTTATTCTAGGTTTTCTCAAGCCTCTCACTTTAAGTGTTTAATCATTATCATGAATCCTTAATCTATTCTTACATGTCTAGCCCATAAAATCAAAACTTATTTACTATAAAACACCTACAAAATATTTTCAACTTATTACGTATATTCTATGCTTGTATGCCTGCCAATAACACTAAATCTTACCTCTTTTTGTAGTAAATAGATTGGTACAATCATATCCAGTATCTAAATTGTGTGATAATTGATCTCACTCTATTGTGCATTTTTCAAATTAATCTACATATTACATAATATGTTAAAAAATATTATTAAAAGATAAAGATTTCTTATAATTATTTTGTATTCACAGAATTCCATTTCTGAGAATACAAAATAAATCTTGAAAACAGATTTTTGAAGATTATAATGTATGCTTGAAAACATATTTTCAAGAATTTCGAGAATAGAAAATAATTCTTCGATATCGAATTCCAAGAATACAACATAATTCTCATAAATGGATCTCTGAGAATTATACTATATTCTTGAAATGATATTTTTGAGAATTAAGTTGTATTTTTAAAAATCCATTTATGAGAATTTTATTGTATTCTCGAAAATCTATTTTCGAAAATATAAAATAATTCTTGAAAATATGTTTTTGAATATACAGTATATTTCTCAAAAATAGATTTTCGAAAATTATAAAATTGCAAAATCGACTACATATCTCATTGAGTTCTTCTGCCTCATCGTTGTTTCTCATTTTTGAATCAATTCTTACATAATTTGTAGGGTTTAACTAAGGTTTCAAAAATTAGGTTTTTGTTTTAAAGAATTAGGGTTTAGTGTATGAAAAAGAGGAATTAAAGAGGAAGAAGGAAAAAAAAGAAAAAAAAAAAGAAATAAGGAAGAAGAAAAAAGAGTGGGTGTATAAGATATTGAAGGTATTTTTGTCTTTTCTTAAAGCCTAAATTTGATATTTAATACGTGAGTATTTTTGAAAGAAAATTTATGAAATGTATAAAAAAAATTTTATGATTTATTTAGAACATCCCTTCCTTTTATCAAGAAAAAATGAAGCAAATAATAAGTACATTTATCTCACTCATTGAATACTCACACACCACAAGCTATATTCCCACAACTCTGAATCTAAAATTACTTATTGTTGAGACTCAGGATAAAATAATACATGTATTGCTCTTAGAGTTGCCAATAATTTTGATCTATAGAGCCAATATATGGTGTAATAAGTTCTGTTTGAAAAAAATTCAAATAGAAAAAATACGTTTGAAATATATAATAATTTTTTTTTTTCAAGTATTTGATATTGTTATAAAAAAGTTTTGTGAGTAATTAGAATGTTTAAAGATATATATATATATATATATATATATAATGAAATCTTAAAAATGAAAGAGATAATGTAGTGATTTTTTATTTTAAATGTAATTTTCTACGGTAAAAGTATTTTTTTAATTTTTATTTAAATTTGTAAACTAAATTTTTATATTAAAAAACATTGAAATTAGATAAAAGTAATTTTTAAACGTAAAAACTATTTTCAAAAGCAATACTAATTCTAAATCTTACTTAAATCAACCATGTTTTTAATAAGATCCAAGAGTTCTTTTAGATGTTGATTGTAATTGTCATGGTAAAGGACTTTCTCAACGCCACGTCTTTCCTCTCTGTCCTCTATATTTTTTTCCCTAACACCAACCCTAGAGAAAAAAAAAAAGTCAAGGCTGTGTTTGTTTTATAGATACAATGCATTATAACAATATCTTTAATTGTTGTAAGTTCTAAGTTGCAATATGAAGACGTGGAGGTTTAGGAAATATTCGATTATTGGTTTCCCAGTGGTCAAAATCAAGCTCCACCCGGGCAACAATGGCTGCAGTCAAAGAAGTCTTCTTTTCTTTTATCGAAAAAAAAAAAAAAGAAAAGTCCTCTTTTCTTCCTTTATTCAACTTAACTATTCAATAAAACGACAAAAAAAGAAAACTACCTTTCTGCCCTGTCTGCTTTGCCCTTGAGAATTTTCAAAAACAAAAAGCCCACGAAAGATGGAGGAACCCAATAATACAAGTCCCGTGGAAAAGCTTAAGCTTTGAGGTTTGAAGAACATTATGAAGGCATGTGATGGTTGTCCAAAGTCAAAAACTCTTTTTATTTCTTTGCATTTCTCTCCCTCTACTGCCCCCCTTAAGTCTCAGGTTGGAAACCCTCTCATTCTCTTGCTTTATCCCCAAGTTTTGCTTTTGGATTGGTTAGAACCTTCCATAAACGTTATTGTTTCATTTTCTTATTCTTTTTCAATACCCTATGTAGCTTATTCGCCCGGAAGATTTTCATTTTTCTCTTTTGTTCCCACTAGTTTCTTTTACTTTTGATAATCCAAACCCTGTTGACAATTTCACACTGGATAAAGGAACCTCCACTTTTATTCTTTTCTTTGGTTTTAAATTCAAGGGTTTTGGGGGTTTAGAGGTTTATGCTTTCTTCAAAAAGCAGCTTTCGCTTAGGGTGATCCTGTTTTGGATATCAATTTCTGAAAAGTTCAGTTTTTGGATAAAAGAAGCTCGCATATGGTGCTTTGGTGCAAAATACTTGAGATTAGAGATTCAAGGTTTTGAAGAGTTTAAATGAAATGGATGGATCACAGGGAAGCTCCAACGAGCCGCCGCCTTTTCTTACTAAGATATATGAGATGGTGGATGATCCAATGACCAACTCCTTGGTATGTTGGAGTGAAACTGGTTATAGTTTCATTGTATGGAACCCACCAGATTTTTCAAGAGATTTGCTGCCAAGATATTTCAAGCACAATAACTTCTCAAGTTTTGTCCGGCAGCTGAATACTTATGTAATGTTTCTTCACTTCGGAAATGGCTTCTTTGTCATTTTTAATCTCCATTTAATTCCCCTTCCATCTGCTCGGTATAGAAAATTTTCTCCTCTGGCTTCATGTTTGTTGACTTGCTCAATTTAAATGTGTTTCCCTATATAGTTCCAGAGTGGACATCATGTTGCAACCATTGTTGAACACTTTTTTTGGATGGTAGCATACACATACACATGATTGCACTTTTCTGTTCTTCTACCTGGAATAGAAATTGCTAGATTTTTTTCATGCTCAATATAACTATTTTTGTAAAAGAAATTGCTTCTTTTTTATTAGCATTTTGCAAATATTTTGTTCATCTCATTGTTTGATCATTTCCCGATATATTCTCTAGCCACTATCTAGGAGTACTTTTGCTTTTATTTGATTTGAATCAGACCATATAATTGTTGGTAGTTTTTTCTTGTTTTGAATTAATCGTAACCTTTATGGTATGGAAATGTAGGAATATGAGGATTATACAAGCAGCCCTCACCACCCTGTTTTCTTCTATCTTTTCCAAGTTAATGCTTCCCATGTTTAAAGGTGACTTTTCATGCTTTGGTTTGGTTGACACTTGCATTTTTGTTTGATTAGGGATTCAGGAAGATTAATCCTGATCAATGGGAGTTTGCGAACGAGGAATTTATCAGAGGACAGAAACATCTTCTAATGAATATTCGTAGACGCAAGCCAATTCATAGCCATTCCTTGAATCACCAAGGGAACTCCGCTGTGCCATTAACTGATGCAGAAAAAATGAAATTTGAAGAAGAAATTACGAGGTTAAGTCACGATAAGAGTCGGCTTCAATTGCAGCTACAGAGGCATCAGAAAGAGAATCAGGAATTTCAATTTCAAATAAGATTGTTAGCCGACCGCTTTCAAAATATGGAAGACCGACAGGGACAGGTGATGGTGTTCTTGGCTCAACTGATAAACAAACAACATTTTCTGTCTATGTTCGAGCAAAAGTACGAATTTCTTAACAAAAAAAGAAAGTTGTTGAATTCTAATGACTTCAATGATGAATTCAATAGGGAAGAACGTCACGGTTTGACTTCTCAGAATTCAAACATGGGAGCACTTTCTGCTCCTATATTGAATTTGAAACAGATCGAGGAGTTGGAATCATCTCTAAAATGTTGGGAAACATTGTTTTACGGAATTGGAGAAACTATGGGTGAACAAGTGTATGATTTTGGCATATCATCACGGCCTTCTCCAATTGTTGTTACTGAACTGCAGACATCCTCTGGTGACTATGACATTCATGGTGAACTTTGCTCAACTTCATCACATCCATGCTCTCCTTGTTCAACAGATATTAACTCCTCGCCTGAGCTGGATGTGTCTGTTTATCATGCTGACAGTCCTCCTGTACCTTCTTTTCACCATATTGTCAATCTTAGCCCAAAATCTTCTGGAATTGGTGTAAACTCAAATAATGATAGTCCTCCAGAGACTGATCAGGCCTTAAAAGAACAGATAGAAGCAGTGGCAACTGATCGTGCCGTGCTAGGTAAGGTAAATGATGTCTTCTGGGAACAGTTTCTGACAGAAGTTCCCAATACATCAGATGCACAAGAGAGGCAGTCACACCCTAGGACCACAATAAACAGTGCAGAATACGTCACAAAGCACATGTAACACCTTTCTCCGGCTGAAGGAATGTAAAGTTGGTTGATCCTTAACTTAGAGAAAAGGTGCTGCTGCTCTGGGCATCATTCATTGAATTTTGCTTGATCCCATTGTTGAAGTGCACATACGAGAGGCTAGCTGCTAGTCAGACACTCAGACCGAGCTATTAGCTATATTTATTAAATTTTGTAGCTATATGATATGATGTACAGATATATTAGATTATAGGACTCTATCCTTTTGGTGTGCGTTTACCTATGTTCTTTTTTTTTAGTTATTTAGAAACAACTTTCACTTTGTATTAGATTATAGGACACTATCCTTTTGGTGTGCGTTTACCTATGTTCCTTCGTTTAGTTATTTCACTTTGTATTGAGGATTCTCCTTTTCTTTACTAATTAATTTTGTTCCTATTTTTGATGTAGCTCTATGATGTGAAAATAGCTATTTTAAACTAAAACTAAGATTTCAGCATTTGGTTTGAAAATAACTTGATCTTAGTATCATATCGATAAAGATACATATAGCCTGATATTGAAATTCAGAAAAAAAGTCATTGTCAAGAAGGAAACCTTTCTCAGTTCATTATATACATCAAATATAAATTTTGCAAGGATATCTCAACAAACAAGTACAAAACTTAAGGCCATTTATGGAAAGACCACACAATTTAAAGTTATCCTAAGTTGAGTGGTTATTCAAGAATTTCATGTTATTATGTATGCATGAGATTCCAGTTTAAGGAGAAACTGTCAACTTAATTAGTAATTCCAGTTCATGTTGTTTTGAGGACCTTGGATATATGGATATATGAATTAAGACCGTAATTTTCTTCATGGTTCTTTCATATATTTGTAGAACACTCTACATTATTCTTTGAAAAAATTAAATTAAAAAAATGAGGATAACATTTAATATATTTATATTGGGACTGCTAGATAACATTTCAAGCATCAGTTTTTGGATCGGCAAATGAGGATGAATGCATGTTAATTGAAACCGTTGTTAAATGGCTGCTTCTAAAAGGCACAACTTTGCTGCTAAACTAACAGAAGATCAGGCTTGGAACATGGAAAGAACCTGATATATACATTGTTTGAAATATTTTTAAAATATGAAAATACTATAATTAATTAATAGACTTAATCAAAGAAAAATCATCTTAAGTTACAGAAAGCTTAAGGTAAGGTTCCAAAATCTTGATTCTAAACTTAAAAGAATCAAGATAAGTAGGCTGCTCATATAGGTAGATGACTACATGCTCATAGAAATCGACCGCATTAGGCTTTCAAAGACGTTGGGGAACACCACAACTCTGATACCATTTGTTGGGTTAAAAGCCTCCAATCCAATCACACCAGTGAAAGCAAAATCAAACAATAAATCAAACACACAAGAGACAACAATTTAATGTGGTTCGGTCCAATCAACCTACGTCCACGTATGAGAAACGAGATCCATTAGTTGTAGAGAATTACAAACATACATCAAATCATCAACCTCACTCAACAATCAATACTCATAAGACACTCTTAATTTTCTCTAGTCCTATGGAGTATTCTCAACCCAAACAAACATAAACCCAAACCCTTGTGCACCTTTTCAACAGAACCAAATACATACCCATATGCTCCCATACATAATACCTATGTGGATCCTCTCAGTCTCCTCTAGTCCACTCACAAACAAACATACACATCCATAAGACGTAGAGCCCCAATACTCCTATGGAGTGTCTATCCCACAAAACCCTACAACTCTTTTACATATTTTTCTCATACTCAACTTTGTAGAGACTTCACCTATTTATAACCGTACAAACTGGCCTATTAAAAATCCCTCTCTTCCTAAAATTCTTCTTCTGTAAGTCAAACTTACCTATTAAGAATCACCTTTCTTTAGAATTCTTCTTTTGTAAGTCTTATTGTCCATCAAGTAATATTTACCAAATTTCAAACAAATCCCAAACAAATCTCTTATGAGATTTGAGTCGTTATCCCAACAATCTCCACCTTGACTCAAATTCCGTTAATCATCTGTCTTCATACTAGACATGTTTGGCTTCACCTATAAGGAAGTCTCACACTCATCTTCTCTTGTGTGTCTTCATGCTTCATGCAAACCGATCCTTCAATCCTCAAAACATAAACTCAAACTTTTTCCTTGAATCACACTCCTCTGAGCTTGCCTCTTCCCATGTCTCAAACCATGTTTTTCCCACATCTTGAACCTTCAGCTCTTCCCACGTCTTGAACCTTTGGCTCTTTCCACATTTGAATCTTCAACTCTTCTCACGTTTTGAACCTTCAGCTCTGATACCACTTGTTAGGAAACACCACAGCTCTGATACCATTTGTTGGGTTAAAAGCCTCCAATCTAATCACACCAGCAAAAGCAAAATCAAATAATAAATCAAACACACAAGAGACAACAATTTAACGTCGTTCGATCCAATTAACCTACGTCCACGTATGAGAAACGAGATCCACTAGTTGTAGAAAATTACAAACATACATCAAATCATCAACCTCACTTAACAATCAATACTCATAAGACACTTTCAATCTCCTCTAATCTTATGGAGTATTCTCAACCCAAACAAACATAAACCCAAACCCTTGTGCACCCTTTCAACATAACCAAACACATACCCATATGTTCACATACATTATACCTATGTAGACCCTCTCAGTCTTCTCTAGTCCACTCACAAACAAACATACACACCCATAAGACGTAGAGCCCCAATACTCTTATGGGGTGTTTATCCCATAAAATCCTATAACTCTCTTACATATTTTTCTTATACTTAACTCTGTAAAGACTTCACCTATTTATAACCATACAAACTTGCCTATTAAAAATCTCTCTCCTCTTAAAATTCTTCTTCTGTAAGTCAAACTTACCTATTAAGAATTCATCTCTTCTTAGAATTATTCTTTTGCAAGTCAAACTTACCTTTAAGAATCTTCTTTCTCTTAGAATTCTTCTTTTGTAAGTCTTCTTGTCCATCAAGCAATATCTACCAAATCTCAAACAAATCCCAAATAAATCTCTTATGGGATTTGAGTCATTATTCCCAACAAAAAGAGCAGTCAATTGTCAAAGGTATAGAGTCGACTACTTTGGTAAACATAAACTAAATACAGTCTCTGTGTGAATTAGCAGTTGACTGCCATACTAGGTCAATCAACTACCATGGCTGGAAATTAGTGAAATCGATTTCTAATCCTAATGGAATCAATTGCTAATGCTTAAAACATCTTTTGAAAATTGTTTTAAGCCATAGTAGTCAACTACCCTATAGGTGTCTATTAGCATAATCATTTTGGAAATTAATAGGAGTAGATTACCCTATGAAGTAGTCGATTGCTCAAGTAAATAATGCATTCTATAAGTTAAATGGAGCAACTACTCTAAACAAGAGTCGACTTCCTTACTTCAAATAACATTATGGAATCAAAAAATACAAAGAGGCAGTTGAATGTCATCTTAGCAAAATCAATTGCTCTAGTGAAAAATTACAATTTTTAGAAATGTGAAAACTAGTTTCACTTGGTATGAAAGGTTAAATAGTTTAAAGAACCAACTCATCATTAATTATTCAAAAAGATATATTCTAACAATAGGAAGTGATCTTTGATTAAAATAACACAATAAAAAAGTCACAATTTTAGGATTAAATCTTTATAAATAAAGACTGTTGTGGGTTCGTTTAATATGTGGAGACTTGCACCCAACCTGTGAGGTATTGTGTCTTTTGATCTGAAGGTCTCATTGTTTTGTCCATAAAAATTACCTCACATATTTTGGGTTTAAGCCTCTATATATATCATAGCAAATCCTCAAAGAATCTCGATGTGGGATTGGGGCATTACAAATTCTTTTTGTTAAAGCTTGACATCTCTGTCAAACCCAAAATAAAGCACACAAATCCACTAAATCACACCAAACGTTGGGTAAGCCCAGCACAAAGTACACACAGATCACAGGATCATACCAAACATTAAGATTATAGAGGTGGCTCTCATCGTATAGTATTTAACTCTCGCAAAATTCTAGAGGTGGCCCCCATGGTGTAACACTTAGCTTTTGTCCAACTGGTAACTGTTCTAATACCATTTATGAGAACCTACACCCAACCTGTGAGGTATTGTTCATTTTGACTTAAAGGTCTCATGATTTTGTCTCAAAAAAATGCCTCACAAATTTTAGGTTTAGGCATTTACATATATATCATATCAGATCCTCAAAGCATTTCGATATGGGATTAAGGCATTATATAATATATCTAAAAACTCATATTTTTTTATCCCATTTCTCTCAAGATAAGTATATTTTTTTGGCATCATTTGCTACTGAAAACCTTGTTAAAGATAAGGAATTTTTGTCACTTGTCAAAGTGCTTTTAGTGTTTTGATTTTGCTAATGCAAGGTAAATCAAATATATGCTTCATTGTATTTTTAAGGTTATTTAATTCAACCAATTTTGCACACTATCTTTAGTAAAGGCGAAATAAATTTTAAAGACAGTGGCATTAGCAACACTCTTTGAAGCCATTTTTATTCTACATTGAAAGTTCAATTTTGTTTTACACAATATGTAAAAGAGAAAGATATTAAAATATCACAATTTTTACATCAAAGTTCACATTATTTTGTAATCTTTAACCTTTGTAATTTGTTTCTAACATTCTTAAAGCTTAATATGCAAAATGGATACATTCAATTCTACAAAGAGATGGCTTCAAACTTTCAAAAGTTGGAACATTTTGATGAAGACAATTTCATAAGATGGCAACAAAATATTCATATCCTTCTCACCGCATTGAAGATTGTATATATTCTCACTATTCCAATACCAGAAAAGAAAGAGAACGAAGCTCATATTGAATTTTAAAAAGACAACAGTGGGAGAATAATGACTACACATGTATAGGCTGCATTTTGGATGGTAAGTTCAATTATTTATTTGATAAATATATTACATGCTCATCAACAAAAGAAGTTTAGGATAAGTTGAATGCTAGGTACATGAAAAAAGGTGCTATATGCAAGAAGTTTCTAGTTTCAAGATGGAACATGTACAAGATAGCTAATTCTAAATCAGTCATGGATCAATTCATTGAAATTGTGACCATCTTGAACAAATTCAATCAATAAAAGATGGATGTAGATGAATCTTTCATTGTATCCTTTATAATTGACAAACACCTACTTTCATGAAAAGATTTCAAGAAGACAATAAACCATAAAAAGGAAGATATGTCTCTTGAAGAACTTGCAAGGCATCTTCATATAGACGATTAATATCACAAGAAAAATGAAATGGAGCTTAGTTATTCCAAAGTCAATATGGTAGAAGATGTCAAGCTAACTAAGTCCACAAAGAAAAAAGAACTCTCTCTTACTATTAAGAAATTCAAGAAGAAGAAAGGCGCATGTTTCCATTATAGGAAACAAGGACACTTTAAGAAATATTTTCTATCAATAAAAAAGAAAAAAGTTGCACCAAATGCAGCTAGGAATAACCCTTTTACTATGATTTTTGAAATTAATGTCATTAAAGACAATGAGGTATGGTGGATTGATTCTGGTTTTCAAAACATGAATACCTTAACAAATACATG